TGTGTGTGTGTGTGTGTGTGTGTGTGTGTGTGTGTGTGTGTGTGTGTTAGGGCAATTAAAGTTGTTAATTCATAGCTCTTCAGATAAATCAAAGACAATTCTAGAAAATAAACTAGAAATCATAGTATTGGACTGGGAATGTAGCTCAGAGCCATAGCACTTGCTTAGTGTGTATGAAAGCTTCAGTTCTATCCTTAGACTGAAAAGAAAAGAAAACAAAGATAAAGTGAGGGAGAAACAAGAAAGGAAAGAAAAAAGAATGCCAATAAGGACAGGAAGAGAAAAGACAATAAAAGAAGATTCTACAACATCATTTGTGAATCATAGTCTGAGTTATAAACAGACAGGACAGGAGTGCTAGGTTCTCTCCAGTGGTGTGTGCATTTTGAGAAACGACAATCAAGACTTGAATGTCTTGAATGAAGAATCCTACATGATTGTAATTAAAAAAAAACAAACAAACTGTTATATTGGTATTTTGTTCACATGTTAATGCTTTTTCTAGGAAAATTTTATTTATTCCTCCTGCTCGTGTCAAGCTTAGACAGGTGACTTAATTTGGTCCATGGGCATACAAAATTAAGAATAAAATTAATATAAAAAGAGAGCTGGAGAGATGGCATAGTAAATAGTGCTTACCTTTCAAGTATGAGGGCCTGTGTGTGGATTCCTGGTACGCACGTAAAGCCACATGTGGTAGCATGCGTCTTTAATCCTACTACAGAGAACAGGCAAACACTAGAAGTTCAAAAGACACCTAGCTTGGAGTATGCAGTAGCAGACAAGAAATCCTGTCTCAGACTGGAGAGATGGTTCAGTGGTTAAGAGCGCTGTCTGCTTTTCCAAAGGACCTGGATTCAATTCCCAGCTCACAACTGTCTGTAACGCCAATTTCAAGGGATCTGATACCTTCACACTAAATACACATAAAAAATTTTTTTAAAAATTAAAAAAAAAAATCCTGTCTCAAACATGGTAAAAGATACAGATCAATCCTCAAGGATGTCCAACAACCTCTACATGACTACCATGATTCATGTTTCCACAGACAAATATATTTTCATACTCAGAAATATAAAAGGAATACATAATAAAGAAAAATAGTACTGTGATGAAGTATCATACCATATAGAATTATTAGGGGAAAAGGGAGCTTTATAATCATACATTTAAAATGTTCTTAGCAAAACAGAAATCAAAGCTTATGCTATAAGTTCAGAGTGTATGGAAGGAGCTGGGTTTAGCTTTGTGGGACTCGAGTTTCACAGAGAGCTAACATGGGAAATTAAACTGAAAAGGTTAACTCAGATCTGGGAGAGTTTGGGATTTGGAATTATATCCTTTGGTCATGAAGATTTAAAAAATTATTTCTTAACACAAAATAAAGAAACTGCATGGCATAGGTCTTAAAGGAATCGGGATGCCTTTTATCATTTTAT